CTTGTAATTATTTTTTTTTTTTGTATGTTTTTATTTTCGCTCGCGCTCAGCCTTCAGCCTGCCTCAGGGATCAGCCGTGCCTCAGCTCAGGCCTCAGCCTGCCTCAGCTCAGCCTAGCCTGCTTCAGCTCAGCTCAGTCTGCCTTCAGCTCAGCCTCTGCCTCAGCCTGCCTCAGCCTCAGCCTGCAACAGCCTCAGCCTCAGCCTCAGCCTGCCTCAGCATCAGCCTGCTTCAGCCTCAGCCTCAGCCTGCATCAGCCTCAGCCTCAGCCTGCTTCAGCCTCAGCCTCAATCTGCCTTCAGCCTCGGCCTCAGCCTGCCTCAGCATCAGCCTGCCTCAGCCTCAGCCTCAGCCTGCCTCAGCCTCAGCCTCAGCCTGCTTCAGCCTCAGCCTCAGTCTGCCTTCAGTTTGGCCTCAGCATCAGCCTGCCTCAGCCTCAGCCTGCATCAGCCTCAGCCTCAGCCTCAGCCTGCCTCAGCATCAGCCTGCCTCAGCCTCAGCCTCAGCCTGCCTCAGCCTCAGCCTCAGCCTGCTTCAGCCTCAGCCTGCCTCAGCCTCGGCCTCAGGCTGCCTCAGCCTCAGCCTGCAACAGCCTCAGCCTCAGTCTGCCTCAGCCTCAGCCTGCATCAGCCTCAGCCTCAGCCTGCCTCAGCATTCAAAATGTGGCCTGGGAATGAAGTTCTGGGAACTTGAAGAACACGAAGTGGCCTACAGTTGGCTCCGGGCATTCAAAATCGTGCCCAGGAATGGAGTTCTGGAAATTCGAAGAGCACGAAGTGGCCTACAGTTGGCTCCAGGCATTCAAAATCATGCCCAGGAATGGAATTCTGGGAACTCGAAGGCCACGAAGTGGCCTACAGTTGGCTCCGGGCATTCAAAATCATGCCCAGGAATGGATTTCTGGGACTTCGAAGACCACGAAGTGGCCTACAGTTGGCTTCGGGCATTCAAAATCATGCCCAAGAATGGAGTTCTGGGACCTCGAAGACCACGAAGTGTGTAACTGTTTGCTTACAACGACTTCCGCGGATCCCTGTGCGGATGCCGCCCAGACCCCCCCGGGGAGTCATGATGCTCTCTTTTGACACTACTAGAAACCTATCAGTCTTCGCTGTTAGGTAAACTATCCCGGCAAATCAACCTAACAGCGATGTGTAGGAGCATATTTGGAAGCATTCCCCTTAAGATTCAGATGAGAATCCAGTTGTAGAATTCTGCTATTTTTTTTTTTTGGTGTTGTTGGATTTGTTTTATTTTTGTTTTTATGGGGCTTTTATTGTGTTTGTTTTTTTTGTTTGTGTGATTTTTTTTTGTTGTTTTTTGTGGTGTGTGTTCTTTGATTTTTTCGTTATTTTTTTATGGTTTTATTTGTTTATTTTTTATTGTTCTTTTGATTGATTATTTTCTTCTTATCTTCTTTTGTTCTCGCAGTCGTAGTCGCATTCGCGATGACAGTCGCAGTGGCAACGGCAGTCGCAGTCACAGCCTCAGCCTCAGCCTCCTCAGCCTCAGCCTCAGCCTGCCTCAGCCTCAGCCTGCCTCAGCCTCAGCCTCAGCCTGCTTCAGCCTCAGCCTCAGTCTGCCTTCAGCCTCGGCCTCAGCCTCAGCCTGCCTCAGCCTCAGCCTGCATCAGCCTCAGACTCAGCCTCAGCCTGCCTCAGCATCAGCCTGCCTCAGCCTCAGCCTCAGCCTGCCTCTGCCTCAGCCTCAGCCTGCTTCAGCCTCAGCCTCAGTCTGCCTTCAGCCTCGGCCGCAGCCTCAGCCTGCCTCACCCTCAGCCTGCCTCAGCCTCAGCATCAGCTTGCCTCAGCATTCAAAATGTGGCCCGGGAATGGAGTTCTGGGAACTTGAAGAACACGAAGTGGCCTATAGTTGGCTCCGGGCATTCAAAATCATGCCCAGGAATGGAGTTCTGGGAACTCGAAGACCACGAAGTGGCCTACATTTGGCCCCGGGCATTCAAAATGTGGCCCGGGAATGGAGTTTTGGGAGCTCGAAGACCACGAAGTGGCCTACAGTTGGCTCCGGGCATTCAAAATGTGGCCCGGGAATGGAGTTCTGGGAGCTCGAAGAGCACGAAGTGGCCTACAGTTGGCTCCGGGCATTCAGAATATGTCCCGCGGGAATGACGTTCTGGGACCTCGAAGACCACGAAGTGTGTAACCGTTTGCTTAAAACGACTTCCGCGGATTTTCCCCGGCACCCGTCCGGCATCTGCCCAGACCCCCTTGGGGCGTCGTGATGCTTTCTATTGAGTCTACTAGAAACCTATCAGTCTTCGCTGTTAGGTAAAAATCAGCATCATCATCATCATTATCAATAGCAGCATCATCACCATCATGATCATGAACATGAGCCGCATAGCCACCACCATCAGCATCATCATGGCGATCATCATCACCATCACCAGCAGCATTATCATCAGCAGCATCATCATCATAGTCGTCATCTTCATCGTCATCTTCATCTTCATCTTCATCTTCACTATAACCATTACCATCCTCATGATCCTCATGTGCATCATCACCATCATCACCACCACCAGCATTATGTGGAGGAGAAGGGGAGCCGTCTGAGCGCGTACGAAATGCTTCTTTCGCAGGCTGCACGGCGAGGTGGTTCACAGCGAATCTCGCCGCACGTCCGTCCGCCCGACCAGATCAACCACGGGAGGAGGTCTGGGCTTGATATCAGAAATATATAATATACCCGGCGACGGGGTTCCACGGCCCGGGGGCGGCCCACTTTTCCAAAACACCCCCCCCCCCCGGGTACCCATTGTGTCCCTGGGGGTCTGGGACCCATTGGGAGCTTTTTGGGTCGCTTTCAGGGGGGCTCTCAGAACCCGAAGGCGCTCCCCAGACGGTCCAAGAAGGTTCCGGCACGGTCCAATAGTATTCCATAGCGTCCGCGCTGGCTTCAAGACAGCCCAAGACGGCCAAAGAGCGCTCCAAGACGGCCCAAGAAGCCCCCAAGACGCCCCAAGAGGCCACCCAAGAGAGCCACAAGAAGCACAAATCGTCCCATTCCTATCGGAAAACTGATATTTTTATATTTTTTGCATATTCGCCTCTTGCGTGTTCACAGCGTCCACGACGGCCCAAGAAGCTCCCAAGACGGCCCAGGAGGCCCCCAGGAGGGTTCCAAGACGGCCCAAGAAGGGCCCAAGACGGCCCAAGAGACCCCCTAGACAGCCCCAGAGAGCTTCAGGATAGGCCCCAGAAGGGTCCCAGAGCGGGACAACCAAGTTCAAATTTCGAGCCTTCGGCCCCAAGAGGCCCCCAAGAGGGCCCCAAGAGGCCCCAAGAAGCCCACCAAAGGGGCCCCCAGGGGACCCGAAGAGGCCCCAAGAGGCCCGAAATCTGCCTCCAATACAACCCCGAGAGGCCTCCACGATGCTTCTAATACACTCCCCAAGAGGCCCCCACAACTGCCTCCAAGATGCTCCAAAACGTTTACGTTTAAACACAAGTGATGGAGATCAACTGGTTTTTCATTTAATCGCTTCGCTCATTCCGCCGGCCCCCTGCTGGTGCGCTTGTGGAGCGCTCTGGGGGACTCTCCCGGGCTGCGCCCGGGCGGCTCCCAGGGTGAAAAAACATCTCTGGTCCGAGTCTCTCGGGACCTGGTCGGGACCTGGTCGGGGTACTTTTCGTCCGGGGACCCCCAGGGGCCGCCCCGCGCGCGCGAACTAGAAATATTCTTTACCAGTTACCGGAGATCTTAGCACCTCTGTTGGGCCGGCGAATTGATGTCACACTCCTTGATGGCGCACGAGAGGGCCACGCGAGGCGAGCATCTTCGATTTTCTGTCGGTTGCTGAAGGGTTTCGATGTTCTCCCCTTCTAAAGTTTCCTGCGGTCCAAAATGGCCCAGGGCTCTCCGACGACCGCCCCGAGACACCTGTGGACGAGGAAACGGCGTCGAGGAGCAGGAGGAGGAAGAGGGGGAGAGGGGAACGGGGAGAGATAGAACGGGTAAAAAATGGAGGATGAGGACGACGACGACGACGAGGAGGGGGCTGGATCAGATGGATGATAATGAAAATGGTGGGGGAAGGGATGGTGAGGACGAAGAGGGAATGGGAACGGAGGATGAGAAGGACTAGACGTAAGGAAGGACGAGAACGAGGTGGAGGAAGAAAAGGAGGGGGGGATTGAAAGAGCGGGGAGGACAGGGAGGAGGAGGATGAGGAGAAGGAGGAGCAGGGATCTTCTTCGAAGAAGCGGAGGCGTCGATGAGGAGGGGGAGGAGGAGGAGGAGGAGGAGGAGGAAAGGAGAACGGGGAGAGATAGAACGGGGAAGAGGTGGAGGAGGAGGACGACGAGGAGGAGAGGGCCAGAGCAGACGGATGATGATGATGATGATGATGATGATGATGATGATGATGATGATGATGATGATGACGATGATGATGATGGTGAGGATGATGACGACGACGACGACGACGAGGACGACACGTGTACGATGACGACGATGATGTTGATTGCTACGATGGCGACGCTTAAGTTTTTGATGGTGACGACGAAGATGATGATGATGATGATGATGATGATGATGATGATGATGATGATGATGATGATGATGATGATGATGATGATGATGATGATGATGATGATGATGATGACGATGACGATGACGATGACGATGACGATGACGATGATGATTCGATTCGATTCGATTCGATTCGATTCGATTCGAGGCGGCTGAAGGCGAACCTGGAGCACGTAGGCAAGGTTGCTGGCAACGCAGTGCGGGGCCTGCAGGGTGCGCTGGCTCGGTGAGAAAGCGCAGGCGGATGGGAAAACCACCACGTGGGTGGAAAACCTCCGGCTCCCAATCTGGGAAAATGACAAGAGCTGAGGGCGCCGACCAGGGGCGCTAGATATGGAGGCGCCTGTGCAGGGCGCTGAAATGAATATGGAATGGTCTCCGGCCTGGCCGGGAAGTCAACGAATTCTCAACAAATCTATTGACTTCCCTGCCCGCGCTGGGTGACGCTATGCGGACGGTCCCCTTGACGAAGCATCCGCGGGCTGCAACTCTGCTGCGGGGCGCGGCGGGCAGAGAGCGCGAGTGCGCGTTTCGCCCCTCGCTGTGCGGCCGCGGTTGGACGCCGCGTCGGCCCTGTCGGCTTCGGCGACCTGGGAAGCCGAGAAGGCAGGAAGGTATCCCTGCATCATCCGGGCTCTGCACTGCTTGCTGGAGAATTGGAGGTGGTGGAGCGCGCGGGGGCGCGTATAGAAATCCTTGGAGCAGGCTGGGCACTCCGTGCCAAGGATGTGAAACCGCGCCTGCATCTTTATGCCGTGCGCGTGCCTCCTGTGAGCGGCCAGGCCTTTGGGGCCGCGGCATTCCCTCTGGCAGTCAGGGCATGTCAGAGTCGGGACCGGCGCGGTCACCCGCCCAAGCGGGGCAGGTTGCTTCCCTCGCTGCCGGCGCATGGCCGCCTGGGACTGCGGGGCCTTGCAAGGGCATGCGCGGAATGCGTGACAAAGCCGCCTCCATCTCGCGGGCTCCGACAGGATGAACTCGCGCCAGGCGGCTGGAAAATGAAATGGGTCTCCGAGGGCCTGCGTTTCCGCCGGAAATGCAGCTGCCAGATGCCTGAGGTCCGTCAGGAGATGGGTGGCAGACGCGGGCTTGGGCACGGCCGCAATGCAGCGCATCACCAGCGGCGGCGCTTGCAGCTGCGAGCCAAGGCCTGCAAGACGCTGCGCCCGCACCAATGAGGCGAGCGGTGGGGCCTGCAGCGCGGTCCTCACCTCGAGGTCCGTCGGCGTGCCGGGGGCCCTGAAGCGCATGGAGCCGTGAATGCGGCGAAGCACTCGGTGGTACTGGGCCTCCAGCGGGCGCCATCCTCTGTCGAGCTGACCTCGCCATGCCGCCACTGCAAACAGGCTGCGCGAGAGCACGAGAGAGTTGGCGAGCTTGATCCTGGTGGGCTCCGCAATGGCCTTGGAGCCGAAGATGGGGGCGGCCAGCGGCGCGAAGGCCTGCTGCGCCTTCGCCGCCTTGCGTCGGCCGTCGGCCTGGTGGCCTCCAGCGTCCTGGTGGATCGTGCCCAGGTGGGTGAAGTGGTGAACGATCTCCAGGGCGAAGCCGCCCGGGGAGGTGAACTGCTCGCGTCCGTTCTCCAGGAGTGCGCTCTGGTGGAGCTTCCTGGAGCCGTTGCCGAAAAGCTTGACCATGGCGGCGGACTTCCCTGGACCGAAATTTATTGTGAGACCGAGGCGCGCGAACTCGTGGACCAGGATGTCCGTGGCCATGCCGAGCTGGTCCAGCACCTGCTGGGGCCCGCCGTGCTCCGTCTCGAGGAAGGCGAAGACGGCGTCATCGACGTACTCTCCGTCGACGTCGGTGCTTGTGGTCTCGTGGAGGTCCTCCCTGGAGTCGAGGGCGGTGGCCCAGGGGATAGCAACGTGCTTCGGGGTCCGAAGCTCGAGGGCGATGCCGGCCGGCTTCCCGGAACCGTTGTCGTGCGCGGCCCAGTGCAAGCTCGTAGGCCAAATTAAAGCAAAGCGCGCCCAACCGACAACCTTGGCGGGCCCCGCGGCGAGCGAGGACCACATCATGCTCCGCCTCACGGACGGCGAACCAGGTGCCAGTATGCCAGTCGGCGATCTGCCGGACATCCTCTGGCGTCATGCCCGCCTGCTCCAGTAGAGGCGGGTGCGTCTCGAGGTATGTCTGGGCCTCCTGCGCGACAGGCGCGGGGATGCCAGCTCGCTGCAGGTCCGCGGAGAGGTCCGAGAGCTTGCCACGGCCGACGCCGTAGAGGTACTCGCGGATGATGGAGTCGAAAGCCTTGGCCAAATCCAGGAAGAGCAGTGCCCAAGACCGCCGCTGGTGGAGGGCACGCTCGATGAACGTTTGGATGGCCGTGGTGAGAAGCGCGGCATCCCTCCCCGGCATGGAACCACACTGCGCTAGGCCCAGGGCGTTAGGAGCCGCTCGGAAGACGGGCTCGGCGATCGACATGCAGTACCACTTGGATAGGTGGTCGGAGACGAGGATGCCGCGGCTGTTGCCGCACACCGCAGGGTCGCCCTTCTGCTTCCAGATGTCCCAGAGCTTCCCCACCTTCATCGCGATGGGGGCCTGGGCGGCAGTGAACGAAATATCGAACAACGGGATCACCATGTCCAGCGCGGCCTCCCCACCGGTTCGCCAAATGGACGCGCTGATGCCGTCTGGGCCGAGGCCCTTCTTCGGGTGAATGCGATATAGATTATGCCGCACTCGGTCACGATGCAAACGCTGCGGCGGCCGCCGCAACGGATCCCCGGCAGGGGGGGGCTCTGACAAAGCTGTCACAGTTAGGCAAATGCCGGCAAACAAGGAGGACCAATGCCGCTCCCATCTGCGCTGGATCTCGTCGGGGTCGAAGAGCGCAGTGCCGCGTTCGTCCAATGTCTCGGCGTGCTTGCGGAAGCCCTTGCGCGCCTTGAGCTGTCTGGCAGTGTTGTGCAACTGCTTGGCGTCGCCGCTCTGGTCGGCCGCGTCGGCCTGGAGAGCCAGCTCCTCGGTCCTCGGCCCAGCGTTGGCGATCTATGCGAGTGAGGGCTCGCACTGCGTTGCGATGAAGTGCGAGGTTTCTGGGCGCCAGCGCCGCTTGGCGATGAGCGTCGGGAAGTTGCTGTAAGAGGTGTTGTGCACGATCACGGTCGCGTCGGTCATGTAGGCTTGTTGCTCGCCATTCCAGAAACGCACGGGTAAGCCGGAGTCTCTGGACGCGGTGGCCGCGCCAGACTGCTTGATTTCGAACTTGCGGGGTGCGTTGGACCAATGCCCAGCTGGTTTGGGAGATCCATGGCTGTTGTGGCACCGCCTTGGACGGCGCGAAAAAATGTTGACGCTGGAGCCGTTGGACCCGGTGGATGAGCTGCTGGGGGTAGCGGTCAGGGCCGTCGTGGACGTACTGCTGGAGCTCGTGGGCGGCCTGCTGCATGTCCAACTGGAAAGCCATGCGCACGCCCTCGTCGCAGAGCCGGGCCGGGCTGACCTTGAGCGAAGGCGGAGGATGCTCCTCCAGGAGTACGGGGAGGGCGAGCTGCGCGCCCAGTGCCTTGTGGTCCTCCCTCTCGGTGAAGCTGAGGCTGTCGTCGTAGACCTGCACGCTCCGTAGATGATGCTGCCATCGAGGACCGAGCCAGATGTGGTCGCACCGCTTTTCGTGGCCCGGTATGCCGAACCACGTGGGTTCCTCGCTGCCGAGGAGCTCGGCCGCGTCGGCGAGATGGTTGGCGAGGCGGCACTCCTCTGAGAACTGGTAGCTGGAGTTCACGCCATGGGCCTCGTCGTCGTCATTGCCATCGATAAAGACGATGATGGACGTCCGGTGCCGCGCCTGCCGGAGCCCCCTGTGCAGGGCATCCCAGAAGTCGCGCTTGTCTTGGGTAGGGGCCGATGAGACAGGTGCGTGCGCAGAAATCGCCGTAACGGCGCAGCCTGCGATAGAGGCCTCGGTGCGGAGGAGGCGTGGGTTGACGACGTTGGTGGCGGCCTTGCTAGCGGTCGCGTGGAGGTCCTTGTGGATCCACAGCTGGACGCCGCCGGTGCCGTCCGAGTTGGCGGCAGCGGTGAACGCGTAGTAGTGGTTGAGCTCCTGGCAGCCCTGATCTGGGAGACGGGCCTCCTGGATGCCAGCGACGTGGACTCCGCGGTCGTGGAGGTACGTCTCAATCAACTGCGTGCGGGCAGCGAGGTGCTGGCCAATGCGGCGCAGTTGCCTCTGCTCCTTCGGGTCGAGCGTCTGAACGTTGAAGGTCGCTTGGTTGAGGAAGGAGACCTCCGTGTCATCACGCCGCATGCGGTGTCCTTGCCATCGGGTGAGCGGGCCTGCGCTCCCAGAAGGTCTGGGAGATGACCCTGTCCACTCTGGCCAGTTTCTCGAGCCGCGTCCAGCCGTGGCTACGAGGGGGGCCTCCGGAGGCCAGAAAGCCTCGAACCCACGCGCATTCACAGATGTGGTGTGGTAGGCCGAGGCGTTGGCGACGGTCACGTTGTAGCTTTCCTCGCAGCGTCGGCAAAAGTCACCGTCGGCCTCGCCGACGCGGCCCTCTGGGCGGAGGAGCCCGCCCCAGTAGTCGGGTAGGGAGCAAAGCGGTCTGTCGCCCCCGCGCTGCGAGCCCGAGTAGGTCTCGCAGCGGCTAGCAGCGCGGCGGGGATTGTGAAGTAGTTGGTCAGGGGCTGCTGGACAGGGCCCTTGAATGGCTGCTTGCCTTGGTAGCGAGTGCCCACTGGCATTCCTGGTGCACTGGTGTCCACCCCTGGCACTGGCTCCGATTTGGTGCTGTGCCTGCGTGGGGTGGGGGCATGCTGACCGGTTGGCGCTTCTGCTTGCTCCTCGAACGCCTTCTCGAACCGGGACAGCAGGTCCGCGCTTAGGGACTTGGCGTGGTCGGCGACGTCGGCCGGGGCGCCGGGCAGAGAAGCGACTTTGTCGCAGGCGGCGGCGAGATGTGCTCGTAGAGCGTCCAGTCCCTCCTCTGGCACTGGGGCCTCGGCCAACTCGTGCTGCAGGTCCGTCAGCTCCTGGGTTAGGCGTTGCTCCTCGGCCTCCGCCGCTTGTACTGTTTGCTCCGCTAGGGCCAGTGCCTCCCTCGCCTGGAGGGTGCGCTTCTTGGCGCGCTCGAGGGCGTCCTTGCAGTTGTCCCTGCGTTGGCCCAGGGGCTTGTCCGAGATCAGCGCTTGCTTGTGCTCGACCCCCTGTAGGGGGATTAGCGCCGCCTCGAGCTGCTTGATCTGGGCCTGCCGCTGGGCCTTGGTCAGGTCGCCGGATGCGGAAGGTGGCGCTGATGGCGTTGCCGTGCTCGTAGGTGCCGTAGTTGGGGCCGCCTGCAGGAGCTTGCTGGCGACCGCGGAGAGCTGTGCCGCCACTCCCTGCTGAGGGGGCGGCGTTGGTCAGCGAGGGCTGGCCCGGCTGGGGCTGGAAGGACTTCTTGACATTGCAGACGGAGCATTTCGTCTTGGGCGACCAGTTGGTGGAGTTGCAGACCTTGCACGTCCACGAGCGCGCAGCCGTTGTCGACGGCGGGCGCCAAGTGCGTGAGCCGTTGACCCACGAGCCGTCCTGGTTCTGCTTCCAGCCGAGCTTGGTCCACTCGTCGTCGGACCACATCGCTGCCAGTGCCCGCTGCGGCGGGGCAATGGACGAGTACTGGCGCAACGGCCAGGAACAGGGTTTGTATGGATAGGTTGAAAAGCTGTCTCAAGCACATGCGGTGCAAGGACGTGGGCTGTCTGGCTTGAGCCAAAATGGCTTGAGCCAAAATGGCTACGGAGATGATGATGATGATGATGATGATGATGATGATGATGATGATGATGATGATGATGATGGTGATGGTGATGGTGATGGTGATGATGATGGTGATGATGATGATGATGATGATGCTGATGATGATGATGATGATGATGATGATGATGATGATGATGACGACGACGACGACGGCGATTATTATGATTTTGGTGACTATGATGATCATAATGATGACGACGATGATGATGACGATGATGATGATGATGATGATGATGATGATGACGATGATGATGCCAACGATAATAATAACGATGATGATGACGATGATGATGATGCTGATGATGATGATGATGATGGTGATGATGGTGCTGATGACGATGATGCTGATGCTGCTGATGATGAGTATGATGACAACGAATTCTGCGGCGACGACGATGATGACGTTGACGATGTGCCTAGCTAGAACCTAAGCGCGCGAAGCGCGCGCGTGGTTCTAGTGTACAATATATTCGTGCAGCGTGCTCGGTGAGGTGAAAGACAGCGAATTCCATTGCATGTGTGATTTAATCGCGTTCATCGCCGGAGCCAGCAAATCACGCAAGGGTTTCGACCTTGTCTTTGCAGTTTGAAAGGCGAGAAGTTGTTACAGTGGGTGTGAGGAAAGGGCGTTTCGGTTGTGGCGATGGTCATAATCGTAAGCACCACGTTGCGTTACGATACGCGTAACGAACATGTCCAACGCCCTCACGGCGCGCCTGGCCGATCTGCTGCTGGCGGAGACGCTTCCAGACGCTGCGCCTGTGGGCTGTCCGGAGTAGCTTCCCGTTTGCTTCATGATGCCACCTCATGTCGGATGTCGCGTTCCCAGGAGACAGTCGCATCATCATCATCATAATCATCATCATCATCATCATCATCATCATCATCATCATCATCATCATCATCATCATCATCATTACTATCATCATCAGCAGCGTCAGCATCGTCATCATCATAAGCATCATCATCAGCGTCATCATCAATCATCATCATCATCATCATCAGCAGCAGCAGCATCGTCATCATCAGCATCATCATCATCATCGTCATCATCATCATCATGCCCAGGTGGCCCAGGCCGAGGCGACGCTCCAAACGGAGGTCGACAGCCCTGATGCCGCCCGTTCTGCGGCTTCCCGATCCCTCCGATGACCTGTGGCGCGGTGCGCTGAGGGCTCATGGGCCCGCCGAGGCTGCGGCGGCGCGCCTGGCGCGGCCGTGGCGGGCCCCGCCCCAGGAGCGCGCGCACGGCGCGCCGCCGACGGCGCCAGGGCGGCGGCGTCTAAGGCGCGCGGTGCGCGCGGCGCACGAGCGCACCGAGGTGGCCGCTCAGCGTGCCGCTCACAAAGCGCCCCGCGGCGCAGGACGCAACAGGCCACAGGCCAGCTGCGGCTGCGGCGGCGCGCTCGGCGCAGCCGTGGCGGGCCCTCCCGCCGAAGTGCGCGCCTGGCGCGCCGCGGGCGGTGTGAGGGCGGCGGCGGCTGCGGCCCGCGGCTGCGAAGAGCGCGTCGAGGGTGCGTGGTCCCTGGCACCGCGTTGCGCAGGGCGCCTCAGGCCACGGCCAAGGTGCGGTTCTGGCGCGCGCTCGGCGCGGCCGTGGTGTTTCCCACCGTCACAGCGTGCGCTCGGCGCGCCGTGGGCGGGAGGGCGCGGTGTGCGCGGCCAGCTCCACGGGGTACCTTGAGCTCGCCCCACGGGTGACCGTCGAGGCGAGCCTTCGAGGTCCCTCTGGGCGCGCCGCGGCACGACGTGATCGACCCCGCTTCCACAGGGTACCCCGAGATCGCCCCATGGGTGTCCGTCGAAGCGAGCCTCCGACGTCCCTGTGGGCGCGCCGCCGCACGTCCCGGGCAGCCGCAGCACGGCGTCGTCGACCACGTGCAGGTGCGGGGATCCAGGGCGCGCGCCTGGCACTCCTCGTCTTAAGTCGGGCCTGTCCCTCTACAGGAGGAATATTCAAAAATAATCACAAAATAGTCTGGGGATTATTTTGGGGGGATTGTTTGACCACTTTGGTTTTTTCGTTTGCGTATTTTTTAGATTTTTCGTCGAACCTCCCACTGTAGGGGCACAGGCCCGACTTAATCCTCGTCGTCGCGTCGACTGCTGCCACTGCGTCGGGGCTCGTCCGGGAGGCCAAAGGGGCCCTCTGGGAGTGGGGCGTCGTGGTGGCCGCCGCCCTGCGGGCGCCAGCAGCAGTCGCGGGGCCCCTCCTCGAGGCCGGGCGCTGCGGCAGGCGAGGCCCCACGAGGCCGTGCCGCATCGCTGGCCGCCCCGCGGCTGCGTGGGCTGCGGGCGTCGAGCCGCCAGAGTGCGACGTTCAAGCTTTGTGCCCCCCCCTTTCGGAGGAGGAAAGGTACCCACACCTCTACCCCTCGCCTGCTTTCCCCTTCTTGGGCCTCCTGGGAGTCCCTCGTCGTCACCGCTGGATTCGCTTCGAACTTCTGGTCAGGACGCACCCCACGAGAGGTCCGGGGAGTAGCGGTATCGGTACCTTTTGGTCTCCCCACCCTTGGGGCCGTTGCGCTGCTCCTCGGCCTTTCTGTTGCCGCCGTGGCCATCAGGGCCGCAGTTGGTCACGCGCTGGCACCGCGCACATTCGCCTCGATGACGTTCGGCTGTGAATTGCACGAGCGCAGGGCTGGTCACTCTCAAGCTGCGGTTCTCCCCTCCTCTTCAAAAGCACGAAGAAGTGGCTCCCACATTTCACCGTGCAAATTCGTATAGCGAGCCGCCACCATTTGCATTGATGTAGACTTGTATGTTTCAAATGGGGCTCTCGCCTGGGATTTCGAAATGCGGCCACCAGTGTAACGTTGACAAGCAGTTAGACGGACGGAGGGCGGCCTCGCTTCTACACAGGGCTCTCAGTCAAGATGTTGCTCGATGTGACGGTCATACGATAAAACCTGCGCACAGGCCCCTGTTCAAAAAGGGGATGTCGCGGGCCAGCTCGATGAATATCTAATGCCAAATATGTGTACATATACACATATACAGTATTGCCTGCATGGGCCCGAAAACTTCGGTTGTTGCAGTCTATGAGGTGCAATTAATTTCTGTTCGCAGTGAGTTGTCCACTACACTGCTCGCGCAAACATCCCACCCACCCACCCGCAAATTGGTTTGCAAAATCTCTTAAGACCCTGACGGTGGGTACCAAATGGCACTTGGCAACGACAGCGACGCCGGCGACGACAGCGACAACGACGACGACGCCGCCGACAACGACTACGACGACACCGACGACGTCTCCAACGACTTCGACGACGACGACAATGACGACGACGACGACGACGACGACGACACCGACGACGACGACGACGACGCCGACGACGATGACAACGACGACGACGATGACGACGCCGACGACGACGACGACAACGACGACACCGACGACGACGACGACGTCAACGACGCCGACGACGTCGACGACGACGACGACGACGGCGGCGACGACGACGACGCCGACGTCGACGACGACGAAGACTGCGACGACGCCGACGCCAGCGACGACGACGAGGGAGGAGGGAGGACGACGACGGCGACAACGACGACAACGACAACGACGAGGGAGGAGGGAGGACGGCGACGACGCGAACGACGAAGAAGGAGGAAGGACGGCGACGACGACGACAACGACGAGGGAGGAGGGAAGACGACGCCGACGACAACGACGACGACGACGGCGACGAAATAGGAGGGACGACGACGAGACGCCGAGGAGGAAGGACGACCACGGCGACAATGACGACGGAAACGACCACGACGCCAAAGAGGACGACGACGACAAACACGAGGAAAGACAGAGGACGACGTAGGCGACGACGACGACGACGACGACGACGACGCGGGAGGAGGGAGGATGGCGGCGACGACGACGACGACGCAAAAGCGCGCGCGCACGCTTTTGTTCAAAATCCGTGTTGCGAGACCTTGTGTTTTTTGTAAGTTTTTTGGACACACGATGTTGAAATCCTTCAAAAGCCGATGGGGTTTGAAGGACTTCGGCATACGCGCGCGACGACGCGCGCGTCTGCACTTCGTCCCATCTGTTGCAAAGGATTCTCAAGACGGCACACGCGCAAGGGCGTTCAACTGATTTCGACATGCGCGCCCGAAGCCCGTTTGGTAGCATTTTGTGTAAATCTTGAAAAACCTATAGTTTTCTTAAGATTTCGCAAGAGCTCGCGCGTAAGCTTGTTTAGCAAATCTGTGTTGCGAAACCCTGAGTCTTTGTATGTTTTGTGGAAACTCGATTGCGAAATCCTTCCGACACCGAAGGTTTTTGGAGGATTTCGGCTGCGCGCGTCGACGCGCGCGTGGCACATTCGTTCCCATTTGTTTGCAAGGGATTCGTGAAAAATGTTATGTTGACATAAAGAGTCCGCTTATGGTTTTTTTACAAGGGAACCCCAGGGGAGCGATTTACCGGCCCCCTGGGACCTTGTTTAGTTCATATTTAGGATGGACATTTGGTCATAAATCATTTTTGATTTACATACCCGAAAGGGAAAACGGATCACGGGGGTGGTCAGGGGATCGAGTAGAGATTATTTTCTTGTTAGAAAGGAGAATCAAT